TGTTTGATTTTTTTTCGGTTATTACCTTTTTTATTGAAGGGGCCGAATTTCTTCTTTTTTTGGGGTCGAAATTTTCGAACTCTTGTTCGAATTTTTCAATTAATTTTTCGATTTTTATAGAGTCTTAAAAAAAAAAAAGAAAGTCATGACGAATCGTGAGAGATTCGATGCACTTGAGGAAAGCGTGAGGTCCCTTGGCAACGGACAACACGTGGTCAATGAAAATATGGCTAAGTTGGAGCTGATGATACACGACTTGGCGGGACAACTCGAGAGAGTCAACTGCCATACGCGGAGGAGCCGCTCATCAAGATCAACCATGGCGGGAACGGGCAGTTCGGCGTCTAGTCGCGATGACGACGACGAACGGTCGCGGGAAACGCGCGCAACGCGCTCTACCCGACACCACGGAGATCGCAGGGCGCATGGCCATCGGCGTCATCGAGAGGAGCACGAACGTGAGAAACCAAAGATAACGATGCCAACGTTCGAAGGGACAGATCCGGATGCATGGTTAAGTCGTGCCATGCAATTTTTCGAGATCAATGAGATTCACAAGTCCGAAAGAGTCCAGATTGCTGCCTACTACTTAGATGGTGAAGCCAACACATGGTGGCAATGGGTGTCACATGTTTACAAAAACAAAGGCGAGCAAATCAGATGGCGTGATTTTGAGAAGGAGCTGATTGCCAGGTTTGGATCTAGTGATTATTTCGATTATGATGAGGCATTGACAAGGATCCGTCAAACCGGGAATCTACGCGACTATCAAAAGGAATTTGAGAAAATAGCAAGCCGGGTGCGTGATTGGCCCGAGAGTTCGTTGGTTGGTGCATTTGTTGGAGGTTTAAAGGCTGAGTTGGCTGCGGAGGTACGGTTGGACAGGCCAAGGTCGACAAGGGCGGCCATGGAAGCAGCACGACTGCACGAGGATCATCTCGCAGCAGTGCGCAAGGCCCGACCGAGCGAGGGACGCACGGACGTTCGGCGCGAGAGCGTCACGGTCGACGATACGCCCCCACGGGCCGAGGTCAAGCCAACGGTCGGCGATGGTACACGCACCACTAGCAACTACCGACGGTTGACGGAGGATGAGATACAAAGGCGAAGGGAAAAAGGCTTATGTTTTACGTGCAACGAGAAATTTACGCCAGGCCACAAGTGCAAGGGAAAAGAAAGTTTTGTGTTGGAAATTGAGGAGGGACGAGAGGAAGAAAAGCCGCAAGAAGAGTCTTGGTTGCATATGGTGAAGTGCAACAAGCGGGGTCCTAAGATGATCAAATTCACGGCCGAGGTAAGAGATACGTTGTTGGAGGTTCTGGTGGACAGTGGATCAAGTTTAAATTTTATCGACGAAAGGTTAGCCCAAAAGCTTAAGCTAGAACCCACAAAAGTCAAGAAGTTTTGTGTCAAAGTGGCCAATGGACACGAGCTGCAAGGAAGTCAACTATTCAAGAAGGTCCCGATAA